GCTTATTTATGGTAATAATATGTATACTAAGCCTGAAGGTGGCGCTTTCCTACGGCAGCCATCTTGGATGGTACACATACACAACTCTGCATTGCTCCGCCATCTTGTCAGCACTCTAGTTGTTTAATAGCTCTATGATTGTATCCCATCCCAATGGTACATGTAGGGTATCCCATCATGCCCAGTACATGTAGTGTATCCCATCATGCCCAGTACATGTACTGCATCCCATGATGTATAGTGCATGTACAAGGTCCCATCATGCATAGTATGTATTGCACCTCATGCATGGTACATTGTATCCTTTTTTTTGGGTGATTCGTACATCAGTTGCCAGGAAATCAAAATATGTAATGTGTCAACTACAGACATGCCTGGTGCGGTAACCATGTCAGCAACTTACATTCTAACTAGCAACTGGGGGAACAACATCATGGTCATACTAACCTTTTCACAACACTTTGTAAACCTTATACAAATTCTAATCAGTCTTTTAAAAAGGTTCAGTATTTATAGCTGAAGCGGTCATGTATCTTATTACTACTTGGAAATGTTTCGATGTGAGTTACTTGGAAATGTATTACAAGATCATTATTAAAATGGGGGTAGAGTTTCTGTTTCATATATCTAGATTGGTTATATCATAACATTATGTTACTCTTCTTTTCTAATGCTATGCAGTATTTAAATGTAAGCTTAGTTTAAGCCTTCTTAATTGACATGTAATCTTCTAGTTCCTCTTGACGTGGAAGAAAGTCAATGGAGCAGGAGGAGGTACTTGTTTTATGACCATGTGACCAAGGTGCTATGGACGCTAGCATTCTAAATTCATGTAGTGTATCCCATCATGCCCAGTACATATACTGCATCCCATGATGTATAGTGCATGTACAAGGTCACATCATGCATAGTATGTATTGCACCTCATGCATGGTACATAGTATCCCTTTTTTTTGGGTGATTCGTACATCAGTTGCCAGGAAATCAAAATATGTAATGTGTCAACTACAGACATGACTGGTGCGGTAACCATGTCAACATCTTACATTCTAACTAGCAACTGGGGGAACAACATCATGATCATACTAACCTTTTCAGAACACTTTGTAAACCTTATACAAATTCTAATCTGTCTTTTAAAAAAGGTTCAGTATTTATAGCTGAAGCGGTCATGTATCTTATTACTACTTGGAAATGTTTCGATGTGAGTTACTTGGAAATGTATTACAAGATCATTATTAAAATGGGGGTAGAGTTTCTGTTTCATATATCTAGATTGGTTATATCATAACATTATGTTACTCTTCTTTTCTAATGCTATGCAGTATTTAAATGTAAGCTTAGTTTAAGCCTTCTTAATTGACATGTAATCTTCTAGTTCCTCTTGACGTGGAAGAAAGTCAATGGAGCAGGAGGAGGTACTTGTTTTATGACCATGTGACCAAGGTGCTATGGACGCTAGCATTCTAAATTTTATCAGATAATCTCCAATCTTACTTTAAGGTTCCTTTGTTTTCTTTCTTTTTTTTTTTTTTTAAAGAAAATTCAATTTGCTAGCTTAATACACAGAGATAAATACTAACATTCCCTTTAAGACAGCGAATAAAAAATTCTTTACACAAAATGTATGCAGTACCTTCGTGTGACATTAGCAAAATAATGTACCTCCACCTATTCTTTTACTGTTATATTCACTAAATATTTACCTGCCTTTAAATATTTTATTATTAATTAACCTGAGGGAATAACAATATCCATGTTTGAAACCAGACAAGCAATTATAATTTTAAATTTTGATAGTTTCATAGTAGAAAATGAGGTTGGTATTATGTTGAAAAACCTCAGGTGCCCAGGTAAACAATTTTTGTTATATTATTGCAAACAAAGGTATATTATTCTTATTCAGTACACCAATCTGTGTATTATGTATTGAAAATATTGAATTGTTTATATTATTATGATCATGCACTGATATGCTGGAGTGACTTGGAAAAGCCTTTAGTGGTCACAGTCAGAACCTATATGAAAAATAAGGTCATATATGGCAGTGCCATATATGGCAAGTTAAATCTGTGAATACTACTTGTCACTAAAAAAGCTGGTTTACAGAATAGGTTTTATCCTATGTGTTGTAATTTCAGTAACAACGTACGCCTTTAGTGGTTGCAGTCAGATTCTATATGAAAAATAAGGTCATATATGGCAGTGCCATATATGGCAATTTAAGTCTGTGAATACTACTTGTCACTAAAAAGCTGGTTTACAGAATAGGTTCTATCCTATGTGTTGTAATTTCAGTAACAACGTACAGTATAGTGTGGATTTGTAGAGACGTCTAGCTACTAGTCAATCGAACTGGGAAATTACTATTTGTACAGAGATAGGGTCATCCATGTTTATTAATTAAAAATATTAACACAATTTTGAAGAATTTTATTTTGTACTTGTCCTAAAAAACAGCAGAAGACAAAATGAGAAATGTATTGCTTAATAAACATGTACAGGAGAAACTAGATCAAAGTAGTATTAACTTCTGTTGTTGTTTTGCTATACTTTTGTTTTGATATCAAATATATAAACAATTACTTTTGAAAAACAAGTTAAATTAAAGCACTGACGGCGTGCCTTCTTGGCCTGTGCATGATGACACAACCTGTACCCTTATGAGAGAAGTAAGTTGTAAGAATGAGTATTCCACATCCATCTCTACCTCGTTCCCACTGAAGCAACAAACCGAGAACACAGAAGAGAAACAGCTGCACCAGCCCTTTGCTATCACGCTGAAGTAGGATGCAGGTGACCTAATTGTAGGGTTAAATAGCTGCTCATCCGAAGAACCTCAGCACATGGTTTCTTTACAATATTGCTAATGAATTTGGATCAAAGTTAATATCTCTGAAACACAAAAAAATGATATTCAATTGGCATAAAGAATCGTGTAGTACATATTCAGCAAACATAGCAGGAGAAATTTGATCGAAGTACAGTAGTACTAACTTCTGTTGGTGTTTTGTTATACTTTTTTTTGGAAATCAATTACTGTATAAAAGGATTGTGGGCTAGACGGTGCGCCTTCTTGACCTGCGCGACTGGACCCCGGGGGAGAAGTAGGTTGTAAGGTCAAATGGTAATAATAATTTGTAATTTTACACATGGTAATGATGTAAAATCTTTGATTGCATTCAAATACACCACTTTGTAATTGTTGTTGATGTAGAAATAGTACATAAATCATGGTTTATAGGACTACCATGCATAATTATACAATTTTTGACTCTGCTCTTCCTCACTCACAACTTAATCAGCAATGGTGTAAATTAATTATTTTATTTTTAATATTTTATACTTTTTTTTTTATTTATATGGATATTTATATATGAAATAAAGAAATGAATACTACCATGCAGTATCGTGCATGTGTACTTTAATGCCTAGCGGTTGGGAAACTTTTTGGCCCATGAACCAGTAAGCTACACGAGGCGTGATACTGGAAACAATATTGCTTTCAGACCGATGGTTTTAGGCCATTGTTTTTCATCATGTATTACTGCAATACTCAATAGGTAGGACATCATTAATATTGAGTGTTATACATAATGAAACACAATATTTCATTGGATCATATATGTTAACACTCAATATTTATGTTAACATTCGAGGTTAATAGATTGGAGGAAATTCAATAAAAGTTAAATGACCAGTATTCTGGTGGTTTTGTTTAATTGGAATTGCACAATTAGAAAAATGTGGATATGACCGAAACTGTTGAGACTTCAAAAATACTTATTTATACTTCAAAGGTTTATTTTCGTATTAACTCTACACAGAAGAGCGATGACGGTATGCGTTGGGCTATGGCGGTGATGACATTTGCAGAATAATTAAAGTCTCTAGACTTCTTTGTAGGCCTCATCTAATTCTTTTGTACACAATAAAATACATTATTTAGCAAACGAGATTGACCTTTTTTCTGTTATGAGCTCGTATGGTAAGGAATATAGGTTTAAAACGCTTTACAAAGTTTACATTACACCATGCCTAAAATTACAAGTTACCATAGGAGAGCATAAGTGGAGTTAAATAGCTTGGTGGTTAAGATGCTTAAGCCTTCCAATCATAGGTTCTCGGGTTCAATTCCTGTCGGTGAGTGTTGCGGGATTTTTTCTCAGGACCACAACAACTCCATTGCCTAAATCCCATTGAGATTTAGTTTGTGTAAAGCATCTTGTGCGATTAAGCCTTTGAAACCCTTAAATTGTTAACATTTTCGGGGCCTTCGCCCCCCCTGGACCAGTTTCGAAACATTTTAATCGAAGCTCGACCACGCCCACATTGCTTTCGTCGGGGAAATCTGACCCCTCGTCGGAGACCTTGGCCCGCCCGTCGGGCAAATCCTGGCGCCAGGCCTTCTTACTTACCTGATTGATTATTTCGTTGTGTAAGGGGTTTGTCACCTACAATTACAAGTTATATTACCATACGAGAGTTGAATAGCTTGGTGGTTAAGATGCAGGCCTTCTAATCTCAGGGTCCTGGTTCAATTCCTGTCGGTGTTGCAGGATTTTTTCTCACGACCAAAACGACTGCACTCCCTAAACCTCATATTGAGATTAGTTTGGGATGATGAAGAATGTGTATGTTAGTCCTGTATAAGGATTGTCACTTATAGCGCAGTTGATAATATTTACTCCCTAAACCTCATATTGAGATAGTTTGGGATGATGAAAAATGTGTATGTTAGTCCTGTATAAGGATTGTTACTTAGCGCAGTTGATAATCTATGGTGCATGTGTTTTGCGCTTAAATAAATAAATAATAACAAGAGCACACAGTAGAGAGCATATCTCCGCCACCGCAATTCTCTTTCTATACGTTTTCTCTTAAATCCCTTTAAATGATCGTCACATCCACACCCTACTCCGGACCGTCGCCAAAATTAATTCATTGCTTCATTGGGTTATACCTAACACTCCCTGTTATTTTAAATTATGTCTGCAGCCGCTTTTCAGATAATTTTAATACAAAAAAAACACGAAAGACCACACACAAACTTACACTACTGAAAACATATATCTCCTGACGGAGATAATGATGGATGTAACACCAAGGACGGTAACCACGAAAGTCTGAAGAAGACTTATTTCCAGTGGGTATGGTGGTGATTACCACCGGGAAACAATTCCCTACTCTCTGAAGAGTGTACAGCGACGATAATTGAACAATAATAATTGAATAATAATAATAATGATAATAATAATATTTTCCTAATTTACTTCAACCACCACCACTACCACCCCACCACACTTCGCTACACTCTGTAAGAGTAATATTTTAAAGGTTTATAAGTATTTCTTGGTTTTCAGTAAATCTTTTATTGTGGTTTTTGGGCTATTTATTCATTTATAAAGGTATTTTATTCAAAATAATTGTATTTGCAGTAAAAAATCGAATTGTACAATTTTACAGACACAAGAAAAAATGAAAGCATGATAATAAATCATCTTAAATTTTGGACAAATCATGCCAAGTAGGTATAGGCCTATAAAATACCTCCTTGGACAAACTAATCACAATACAAATTACTACTACAAAACATTAAAGTTTAAATAAGCAATTACGATTTATTTTTTGAAAAATGTAAATCGCGATGAATTGTCCTAGGGAGAAAATATCACGGGGGGCAATTCCGGGGGAACATATCCTGGGACAATTCCTGAGCCGAAATTCCACAATACAGGATGCCATGCTTCAGACCATTAGGCCTAAAAAATTGTTTGTTTGCCCTTTAATGCTGAAAATTGTATAGGAGGGGCTGGTGCAAAAAACTTTTTTTCTCTGCTTTCACCAAAATTTACATATTAAATCGCAATGCAAAAATAACCCATAATAAATATTTAGCAATGAATTTAGGCCTAGAATGGCGATACCAAACCTCAGACAAATTTAGACAAATTTCATGCTCAAGATGGAGCAAAATAAAGATCATTATCTTAAATTTGTGAACAAAAAATATAAAAAAAAGAACTATTTTTAAAGACGCCGCCCCTATTTTTCAGTGAGCTAGCGGTGGCCGTTGGAGGGCAAACAAACAATTCTTTTTTAGGCATTATTTCGAGACATTTTTGCCAAAATCATCCAGACGGAGGAGAAAATAAATATAAAATTTTATTGGTGAATGTACAACAGGATGTTTAAATGCTTCGAATTTATATGATTAGGAAGAATTTGGAGATTTAAAGGCAGCGGAGGGCGTAATAAAACTAAAGAAAACTTTTATTTTTTTCTGAAATTTCCACTTTTTCGTGGCAGCGGGTGCGCTAATTGACCAAATAAGATTTTATTTTTATTGGAAATCGTCAATATTTTTAGTCGGCGTGTTCAAAAACAAATAAAAAAAGTCTCGCCTAAAATTTAGAATAGCCAAAACAGCGCCACCGGCGATCAAGTAAGTTTTCTCAAAGATCTTATAAACACAAGATAGCGTTCTCCGCGATTTACGCGTGCAAATTCTGTAATAAGGCATGAATGGCGCCCTCTTGCTAAATTGGAAACTTTTGACCTTTGACCGCTATGGCCATACCGTACTGTGAACAGTACAGCAGAACAGGAACCATCTCAAATCCATGGCAACAGATAGGACGCCCTCTTCCAAAACTTATTACTTTTTCTCTTTGGTATAATAGCGCATGAATGACGCCCTCTTGCTAAATTGGAAACTTTTGAACCTTGACCGACGCTTCTATTTGTTACGCGTAAATCGCGGAGAACGCTATCTTGTGTTTATAAGATCTTTGGTTTTCTTCATAGAGCTATCATGGTTTTCTTTGATTGTTGTTATTTCCGTTGATTGTTTCCGATGATTTAGACCTTAGACTTCAGACCCGCGTTAAGGCCTTGGCCTTAGGGTAGCGCAGTCTGTGGTGTATGTAATGCAAAGTTCGGTGCTGTTTTCTCAACTGTACGTTGACTGTTAACAGTGTGACTGGAAAGAAATATTTCCGGTAAGCCTAGGACTAGGTAGGCCTAGGCCCTAGCCCACGTTTTTTAGTTTAGCAGGGCCCTAGGCATAGGCCTAGCGAAGCTTGGCTCTGGTATTATCTAGTAGGCCTAGGCTAGTAGTACAGTAGGCCTAGGCCTAGTAGTAATAGAATGGCTAGGCTTGGGTAGGTGCCCTGATTTGGAAAAAGGCATTAACTGCAAAATCTGAGTTTTGAGAAAATGAGCAAAATGCGTTTGGTTTTACTTTTAGCCAAAGAAAAGTACAAATGATTTTCAATTCTTTCAAGCATATTTTTAAAAATATATACCATTGAAAAAAATTTTGGCCAGTGAAAATGCAGATAATGCCTTTTTCCGGATTATTTGTGCTTTAGATAGTCATAATCCTCAGAATACTGGCACCTGATTGGATAGCAGCTTCCTGCCAGTGTGTGAACTCAACCATTTAATGCTGTACTGAGTTGTGTTTACTTGTTAATGCCTTTATTCCAAATTATTTGTAGTGGTGTGTGTAGATAATGCCCATTTTTAAAAATAAGTATCATATTTAGAGTAATATTTTTGGCTTTCTAGTGAATTAAGGGGATAGATTATACCCTCAGGAGTCATGTAAGACAAAAATCTCAATTTTGAAAAAAATTTAATAGCCTTCTTCCGAGTCAGGGCTAACTACAAAAAAAAAAAACAGGGGTTTCAGCAAGGACTGTACATTACTGTCATTATTAATACTATAGATAGAGGCCATGGATGGCGCGGTTAAGGATGTGTTCTAAAAACTTAAGGTTGTGAGTTTAAGTCGCGTCTTGGTGTTGAATGTTTTTTTTTTAATTTTAAGAAATTTTATTTTTTTTCAATTTTAAGATATTTTAATTTTGTCCAAATGAACATTTAAAATTTTTTTTTGTACAAATAAACATCCTGTACTGTATTTAAGCATGGAGGAATGCACAGACTGGTGAGCGTTCGCTCATGTTGGAAATTGAAAGTATGGCTTTATTTAATTTCATAATTGTATATTTTAATGTCATCATATTATTATTATTATTACTATATAGTTATGCTTTGCTTTTTAATGACAGATTTAATTATTGTTTGATTTAATTATTTTTTTGTATATATCTATGTTTAAAAAAATCCTAAGACCTGACCATCATGCCTGAGACTGGAGAGCCATAATGTTTTTCACACTATAGTTAATACTATCCATTGTATCAATTATTTGTTAATTTCCTTTATTGTTATGTATTTGACTTGTTTATGTTATTGGCTGAATGTAGAATGAATGTATGAATTATGATTATGATGATGTAGAGCCTGCAAATATAAAAATCTACCACAAATGTAAAAATAACCACAAATGTCAAAACATTGCACTTGCAAATGTCAAAATAGCCGCAAATGTCATAACATGCCAACCACAAATGTAAAAATAACCACAAATGTAAACAATTTTGCCCACAAATGTAAAAATCTGTTTAACTGCAAGTAGAAACATTTCATCTACAAATGTCAAAATTTCCATTTTTACCTCAAACGTGATAACATGTCAACCGCAAATGTAAAAATATTTCTAAGCACTTCAATCCTTAAAATATTAAAAGACCCTAATTAACTTATAGTAGAGCAGCTAAAGCGCCTAGATGCGCATTTTTAGTAGAGCAGCTAAGGGCCAAGTTGTGCTCCTTATTACCAAAGCATGAAACTTGGCACAAAATATCTTTAATATGTGTAAATTGAAAAAAAGTTTTGCGCCATGTTTCTGACGCCTACTATGGCCACCATTTCGAATTTATAATGTCCGCCTCTGAAAGACGGGATCCATATATCTTGGCAACGGAAAATCGTACAGACTTAATTTTGGTCTCAAATTGTTAGGCACAATGTCTCAGTTACATACTGTTAATATTTTCTTTCTTGCTTTAATTAATAGACCTGAATGTTTTGGGCTTCCTGTCTACTTCTCATCAGCTTAAGCTAGCCTACCTTGTGATGGGAAAGCCTGATGTGTGTGTAATCGGTGCAGGTGTTATTGGACTTTCCACAGCAGTTCGGTTGCAGGAGGATTTACCCGATCTGCCAATAATGGTCATCGCAGACAAATTTACCCCAAACACTACAAGTGATGGTGCTGCAGGAATCAGCAGATATTGGAACAAGAGTAATCCGCTCCTATCGTACGTAGACTTAAGCTGGACACACACTGCATTGGCCATGGCCGACAAGTTCATCTCTGCTCTCTGTGAATGCTTGACAATGCTATCTGCTGATTGTTGGTAGCACTTTGAGCTAACCATCATTAAAATTATTTGTTGCGCTGCCACGTTGCGTTCTCCTTGTAGTCACGTCAGTCAGTGACAGTCAGTGCAGTGTGTGCCTGGCTTTAAAGGATTTTCCTGTAGCCAAGTTCAATAGGCAACACAAAACATCTGCCCCAAATATATTTGTGTGAGCGAGTGCATGATTTTTGTTTTGATACATATTTTGTATACACTGTAATAAAAAATGTAAGTTGCCCAATCCCCAGCCCTGACTTGATCCAGCACATGGCTTTCACTGATGGTGCAAGGTTTGCTGAAGACAATTAACCTGTACAACAGAGTCTGACAATTTCCGTTAGTGTTTCTGACAACTACACCAGCAGGGGCAGATCCAGAATTTTTTGTACGGGTGGTGGGGTGGGAGGAGGGGCACAACATTTTTAGAATGGACAAGTGAGTAGCGTTATTTCAATACATAACATATGATATGCATTGATCCCCACTGGATCTGCGTGCTTGCACCAGGGCTTTGCTTTCTGACCCATAGCAATTAATATAAAATAACAATACTACAATATAACCAGTCTTTTTTCATTATGTGTTAAGAGTTCCCAGGTGTAAGTGATGCAACTTTTATATGCCTGCAAAGTTAATATAACAATATTAACAATAATTTTCCATTGTGTGTGTATTTTATAATATGTTGATATAAATTATAATTGAGATGATTGTGCAAGGTATTTATTTACTTTGCACGTTAATGAAACGATAGTCTCTATAGTTCACCCAGTTAAAGGTTAAATGAAATTTAATTTCAGGAAATGGGCTGTAGCCACCTTCAAGCAAATGCAAAACTTGCATCAAGCAGAAGGTCCATTAACTGGAATTCAACAATTCGTTCTTTTAGACATTAATGATAAAGAAACAAATGTAAGTATCGATTCTCGAATGTAGGTTTAATGAAAAGTAGAACAGTATTAAGTGATTCTGAATTTGCACTGAATTTAAGAAACCTTGTTGCTCGGTACATGCCATGGTAGGTGTCTAGATGTGAAGCCCTTGTAGCCTGCAAGTTCTAATTGTCGTACAGAGGCTTGTCACCAAAGGGTTTATAAGCTATGGTTTGGCCAGACACCTTCTTGCAGACTTACCATGGTTGTGTAAAAAAGGCAGGTCGCTTACAGATGGGAGGTCCACACCACCTCAGCCCACCATGAATGGGGTGGAGGTGAGAATAAGGGTGGCAAAAGGTGGGACAAAGGCCAAAAATATTCCCTTAAATATTGCACTAATGCATGCATGATGTACTCAGTTGCGTTATCATATATCTCGTTGTGAGCCAGTGGTGTCTGTATGTATTAAGGGAGATAATTTACAAAAACCAACAGGGTCTAGGAGAGACATCCTGGTAGAGTTTCAAGAGGTAACTGAATCTCCCTGGTGCTTGAAATTCTTGTCAAGTGACATTATTCATTTCCGAGCCCCACACCCTTCCCCCCACCCATTTCATCTAAATCATCTCCAATTCCTATAAGACTAAAATTGAACTAGATTTGAACTCATCACTGAGGACGATCGAGTTAGATGATCTGCCGCACTTTGACCCTCAAAATGACCTAAAACATGCTCCAATTTAGTTTTTAAAAACAATAATTTTGAGCATTTTAAGAGATTTACATATGCGTACTTGCACGTCATGATGCGCGTACGCACGGTAATGGCACAACAACTTGACTCCTGATATGAAATATACATGTATCACTTCACTAAGGAGCTATAGCTGATTAAAAATAGGCCTGACTTTAGCATATTTTCACTGTATATCGGCACAAACGCCGCAAAGATCCCTATGTTTAATGCGCTCGTATGGCATTGCTATTGGCCTGAAGATGACTGAAAAGAATGGAAATTTGTGAATGCAATGTCAGGAACCCAAAATATGTAAAAAAAACGTAATTTCTAGCTTCCGTACGTGCTGTGCGAGTAAAAATGCACGTGCCTAGTGGGAAATGTCAATAAAAAATTTTAATGCTCAAAATGGCCTGAAACGTGCTCTAGTCAAAAAGTGATTTTGAATTTTTAAAATTTTGATACACACATGCGTGCTCGTTATGACGCGCACATGAAATATTTTGGTACGTGATATTCAACCTTAACCTAAAGTTTATGCTTTATGTTATGTTTAGAAATGACAATTGTTTAAGATATGATGAATAATGTAAAAACACAAAATTGAGTGTAGATGGCATCACGCATGACTGAACACATTGAAAACCTTATCGTGACTATTCCAGACCAAGCCCCAAATGTTTGTTGCATTCACATTTTCAACTCCCATGTTAAAAGATCCCTGTTTTACTTTTTCATTGTACTCTTTATATATTGAATATTTTGTTTTTGTTTTTCATTTAATGATATTTTCATCTGCCAAGCAAAAGGTTTTTTCTTTGTATTTTATATATGCAGGGGCAAAATTGGCCCCCCTCCTTTTCGGAAAGTTGCCCAAAACGTCTAGAAAAAAAAATTGCGGAGAATTCAGCCACCCCCAAGGGCAAGGGTAGTGTTTTCTCTGGATCGGCTCTCTCCCCAATTTTTGGCCCCCCCCCCCCCCCCCTCCTTTCAGACATCTCTGTATCCGCCCATGATATGGACAAATAAAGGTTCTTTAATCTTGGATAATTTGTTTAAATTTAATTCTTGAAACATGAAAACAAATTATAAATAAATTATCAATGAATGTCTTTTTCAGTATGAAGTTGATGTTGACTATAGAAAACTCTCAGCTGAAGAACTTAAAAAACTATATCCTGGAAAAAATTATAAGTAAGATTCTTCTTTATTCTTTACTGATCTATATAAAATAATTTGCAATAACCATTATGGTCTGATGGAGGGGTGGAAATTGGACAAGGCTTTAACTGGAGATGCTGCAAAGGCTATCTACCTGCTAAAGCATGGAAAAAACCTAGTTTGGCCTGCTGAGATGTTAAGGAATGTAGCCTGTCTGTTTTTTTTTTTTAAGAATTTGGCAGCCCAGTCCCGAACTCAGTTGATAATTCCCCCTTTTAAAAGCCACAAAACATGCTTTGATTTGCTACACTTGTTTTGGTTTGTGACAATAGTAAGACAGTGGTGTCTGTCTGATGACCAATTGTCTTTCAAAGATGCCTAATAAATTAATAAATATATAATTCTTAAGGGTTTGACATGCTTGCCGAGGCATAAAAGCAGTTTATGTTTTAAAATTGGGCATAATCAAGATATTTTATTCTCCCACATCTGTAGATATGGAAACAGTTTCTTAACTTTCATCGCAGAATGCAATTTGTACCTTCCATGGCTTATGCACAGGTTTGTAGAAGATATTTGTAGATATATCTTTCTAAAAACTCTTGCAAATAATGTTGTCAATTTTAAAACAAGATAAGCAGAACCCTCGCCCTGTTGTGCCATATCTATGTACTGAAAAAAAATTGGCTTGCGGTAGATCTACTCGAGTCGGCTCGGCCTACCCATAGGCCTCTCGTGGCAAGCCCATCAATCGTGCGAGATTTGCGCGCCAACTGAGCTGCTTCCAGTCCGCTTGCCAAAATTTGACACGCTACAATGTATGGCCCATGATCAATCTGCTCAAGTCCTAGCCAAAACGAGGCCGATCAATCCGCTTGAGTTGTCTCTGTTTCAGCCGGAAACATTCTGAAATCTGCATCTTGCTTCCGATCAGCACCAGATTTGAGGAGAACCAATACACTTTGTCCATGTGTAAAAATTTGAACCAAACAGTTCAGTAGTTTTTGAGTTACATACCTGGAAGGACACACACAGATGCGCACTATAATTGCAGTACCCTTCACCTCTTCTTCAGAGAGGCAAGGGTAATATAATTTCTACAAATTAGTTTTTTTTTTAAGATTCAAATCAAGAGGAGGAACCATCTTGGAGAGACATGTCCATTCCTTTGATGAGGTACTTGAGTTTAAATTTATGAGTTGCCACAAATATATATTTTTTTAAATAACACACATTTGTGCTGTGAAGCTGTAGCTTTGGGGTTAAGATGGGTTCAAATCCTGGGTTCAAATCCTGTCATTGCAGGATTTTTTCTCATCACTGAAAGACAATCCTCATAAAAGAGACTTAGTTTATAAAGTGTCATTCTATTCTGTAAGTGGCGAGTTTACTTCACGTTGGATGTGAGGGAAATTTAAATATATAAATATTTTATCGTACAAAAAATCATAAAGTAAGCAGACAACATCACTTCTGATGTTTTGTGATTTGTTTATTTAATAATAAAGACTGAATTTAATCTGAATTTAATCTTGTAAAATAAAATATCTAATAATGACATTGTTGATTATAGATTGCTGATAACTATGATGTGATAGTTAACTGCAGCGGTCTAGGAGCAAGAAGATTGGCCAATGATGAGAGCATCAGACCTAATCGAGGTCAGGTGTTAAGAGTAAGTTGCATTATTTTCATAATAGGGAGTTTTCGATTGCACGATGACAGTTGAACGTAAAACGTAATGACGTCACTAAAAGTCATCCGAGAACGTTAAGGTCACCTCGTCGAGTAGATAGACCAAATCTGCATATGCAGAGAACGTAGGACGCCAGGTAGTACGGTCACGCATGAGTGATTCCGTTCTAGCGTCGCGTCGTCGCACAAATTGAAAACTCCCTTTTATTTAGTATATTATACCTCATAAATATTAATTAGGTAATAACAATTCAGTGGTCAATTTCACCCAGTAAGGGGTGTGGTAGGTTCTGCTACAGTTTTGCACATGTCAAATTTATGCATACACTGGGAAAGAATTACTTCCCAAAATCAACTACCGCACTTTTCTTCCTAGGAAAACCATATGCAATTTGCTTAATTTTACCCTCACAGATAGAAGTAGCTGATCTAGACAGAGAGTTTGCTGTTTAATATTTATGAGATATAGTATAACAAATACAGCATAGATTTATTTCACTAAAGCAGTCATTTCTACTTCCCTTGTTGGATTATTGAGGCTACCTCCCTCCTAGTCAAAATTTGATTTTTAATATATTATTTCGGACAGTTTTTAAACATTTTTGATGTGGCAGCTTTGAGAGCTTTCAACTCCTCCTAAACAAATAAATCAGATTTTGTTTATAATTATATCATTTATTTTCTTTATAAATACAATGCAGTTATAAACAGAAGAAATATCACATGAAAAACAGGTAAAAATTACTGCAGAATGATTGACCAAACTTAAAAGTGATTGTTAGGTAAAGGTAAGAGAATAACCAATATTTAAAGTATTATTGTGGTAAATTGTGGTTTGTGACTACTTTAGCTGCCTTCATTTCACAAGGACAGATAACTTACTCTTCCAAAAGATGCAGTTGGTTCTTTATACCTGTAGTGCGCACAGGAGCCAGGTGTGTATACTGGACCTCTTGTTTTAAGTCAACATCTGCAAAGATTTGTTCTACCAACCGAACCCAGTGTGAGGAGCAGCTCGTAGTTAGATGCGCCCCTGCCTGAATGCTCAGCCTCTCGGCTTGCTGATTGTTGAGTCAAAATGTTGCTTTCGTCTACCAGTATGATATAAATATTTGTTTATTATTAACATAATGCATGTAAGTTAGATCATTTGCAACACTTTCATTACTGTGGAGAGTTAGGGGGGTTTTTTTCAGTGGATTTGTCTTCTGTGGGGGTAAAATAAAACATTATTTAAGCCCTTGTAGAAGATAAATCCACTGAAGCCACAATCGCACTGGACTGAAAAAAGGGAAGATTTTACAGAAAGCGGGGAAATCAACTATTGAGGGTGCAAGTCTGTGATATCTCAAATGAATAGCGCTCAAATGACTCAGAGCGTTTAAACCACATTGGATTTTTCGGTTTGGTAAAACTAACCTGGTAAGTTTTACTGGGCACAACCCACTCAGTTAACCTAACTGCTCGTCTCGGAAAGTTTACTGGTCTGTTCGCACTGGACTAATTATGGTAAAACTAACCAGGATCTCGGTTAGTTTTTCAGAAAAAAAATCCAGTGCAATTGGGGCTTAAACAAACATTAACTCTCCATGGTCAGAAATGCTGAAAATGACTATGTGCTTTGTGTATTGGTTAAGATTGCCTTATTGTTACCATGTTTTCAATATGATCTCTTATGCAGCTTCATGCACCTTGGATTAAAATTGGTACTTTTGACAATATAGATTGGATTCATATTTTGCCTCGGTAAGACTGAATAATGTGAGCTTTTGATAGTGAAGTAATTATATTCTTCTCTATAGTATTTTTATAGTCCATTCTAATATTTCTGTATTAAATTTAAAGTTATTTTGCAATTATGTTGTAACTGGATTTATTTTCACATATTTGTTTTTATGCTAATGTCACTGCATTAATTCTGATATAAGAAAGGAAGTTTTTTAGTTATTAATATCACCATCTGATGCTCTTTCCTCACTTATAATATTACTGACATAATAATAATGTTAATACATATTTATATTTCACCAAAATAAGTGATTATTATATGATAATACTAAATTATTATAATTATATAATTGATATTTAATCCAATGTTTCTTTTCAGTTCTAATGATGTGGTAATTGGTGGAGTACACAGAGATGGTAGCTGGGATGAATCACTGAGTTCTCAGGATAGAAACTACATTTGGGAAAAGGCTTGCAAGATAGAGCCATCACTGAAAGTAAGAATACACATATAAACCCATTGTATACACCATTTTAGCTAAATTTAAAATGAAAAATTCTGGCAACTGCCACTGGAGGACATTTTAATCGAAGTACTCAACAGAAGGCATTGTGTTCGGAAAAAAAGAAATTTGCGAACAACAAGGTGCTCCGGCTGGATTTATGTCCTCCAAAGTTGCGCGACATTAGTGGTGCTGTAGACCTGATAAAATAATGTGATTGCCCCAAACGTGATAAATTCAAAAAAATATGTCACACTTAAAACCAAGCCTGACATGTTTCCGAGGCAAAACAATGTATCTGTGAATATCGCTAATAACTTTGCAATAAACAAACGGTTGTAATTAAAATTTTACATATTATCACAATGTCTATAGATATACAATCCTGCAAACTTTCAGAAGGGTATGGCAGTTTATTGCCAAGTTGCAAACATGCAAACTTTAACTCTATTTTTCTCCAAAAGGGAAAATTTCAAATTACGTTGTTTTGTCACGGAACGGCCATATGCTGTTATAATACACTTTGCCATATAAAACTTGGGGACTTCAAACCAGCTTAACAGAAAAATTCATAAGTTCTTTTCAGCTTAGGTCACATTTTTCAATAATAATAATAATGCCAAGCCAAAAAATTTAATAAAAACTTATTTTGAATTTAAAATGAAAAAATAACTTGCTAAAGTTTTTTCATCTTATTTCATTAACTATGCCTGGCTTTGGATGCTGCAATCAATCCAGTATGTCCTAAAGTTAAGACAAATTACACATATTTTTACCCGAAATAAGCAAAATAATTAATTGACATTATGAAATGAATTGTAAACTTATATTTTCGCTAGCTAGTTTAATAACGTGACCCCTATTTAACAGACTGCAATATATTTTTACCTGAAATAAGCAAAATAATGAATTTACATTATGAGATGAATTGTAAACTAATAATTTTGCTAGCAAGTTTAATAACGTAACCCCTAAAACAGATTGCAAGTTGGAAAATTTGGATTGTGAAGAATGATGCATGACCAGGTGTTGTATTTACCAAATTTCCTCACCATGATGGGGCTGTGGTGGTGTCAACCCACCAGTGCTGCTAGCTAAGCATCTGTGGAGCTGCAACAGTTTGTGCAACTTAAAATGGAATGAAAAGGGTTGAGAACCAGAGATTTAAATTAAATAATCAACTGAAAATAGCGAACTGCAATTGATCCAATCTTTGTTTTTTTTCTTGTCAGTACGCAACAGTTGTAAGTGAATGGGTTGGTTTGCGCCCAGCTAGGCCATCTGTCCGTCTAGAACGCCAAGATGCGTACATCAATGGAAGGAAGTTGAAAGTAAGACTCGTATTTACCAGTATCCATATAACTTATGCACCTGTTTTGTATGAACCTTTCCAGAGTGTCACTTGACAAGAAAATGTTGTATGCCCATATATAGTCATGATGTGCCTTTATATGGTCATGATGTGATGTCATCATGACCATATTTAGGCATGTCACATGTTTTTGTCAAATATAATTGCATAGTTTGGACAGCGCTTTAACCTGACCTGTGCATGTGTCACAAACACCTGTGTTTATGTACATTCTCTCTGTTGGGACCTTAGCATCAAGGGGCTCAGTGGAAAGATCCATGTTCCTTGCTGGTGTGGCATAGTTATAGTCATGTGGCCTGTATATTAAAGATAAAACATAAAAGTCAAGATAGGAGAATAACCCATTGAATTGCATATGGTTGTGGTCCGTGACTACCTACCCCTTATAAAGAGGCACTTCATGTTTATATCATTTCAAAATGACAGGGGCTGAATGAACCATAACGTCAGAATAACCCTTAATCTTCCGAAATATGCAATGGATTTTTTAAACGTACACAAGCCACATGTGTACACTAGACGTCAATTTTAAGTCCTTACGGGTGTAGCCTTTTGATGCATGTATGTGGGTGTGTTTGGGGAGTGGGTGTCCGCCTCCTCCCTACAAAAGAAAAAAATAGAAAAATTATTACCTTTAGAGTGTTTTTTCTCCAAAGTAGCAGTGTTGAATTAGCTATCCCAAAGACATTTCAGTTATAGGCATAGACTGCCCACGGTTACGGTTGTTTACTCGCATCATTTTTCTAGGCTATGCAGATGCATCTTCATCTCTCGCCCTAGTCTAAATGTAAATTCTACTCTACTTCCTCCGAACCAACAGATGTATAGGCCTAGGCTTACTGTATTTTGCCGAGTATTAAAATTTAATGTGTCATGTGATGTTAACAACAAATCTGCTTTACGGTATTTTATGAATTAATTATAACCAGGAAGTTATGAACAAGAATGATATCTCTGGAAACTGAATCTCAAGTACTGTATTATGCAGAGTCATATGCATGCATTGTGGGTGACTTAGAACTTTCTAACCGGGTATAAATATGTTTTTAACACAACATCACTTGGTACTGTAGACAATGGTTTAGCCTTACCTTTTTTAGGAAACCCCATTGAATGTTGGTATGAAAACAACATAAATTCAATATATAAAGGTTGGTTATCAAACGTAAATATGCCTTAGTTTAACGCAACATTTGATAGATTAAAAAAATATAGAAGAAGAATTTGCGGAAAGGTAGACCAGCCACAACTAGGCTAGGCCAAGCTGAGTAGGCTAAGCTATCCAAGCCGTTGCAGTAAAAGCGGCTGTCCTAAGTAATTGTTGGCCATCCAAAAGACAACCGGACGGCTCGCTGGCTAAGCCCTTAGTGTGGACTGTGTGTTGATGCTAGTGGGTGTGGCCTGTTCATAATTATTCATGTGAGCATGGCCTGTTCATAGTCATACTAAAAACTTTGATTTTTTAACTAATATATTTTTGTCATTTAGATTGTCCATAACTATGGTCACGGTGGTTTTGGTATTTGTGTTCACTGGGGTTGTGCCGTCGATGCTTCAGCATTGGTCCAGCAGTGCTTGCAAGAAATTCAATTTAATTCTAAATTGTAATTGAAAGGTATATGATTATGTACAAAATAACAATAGGATTTTATTAGTCAGAAATTCAAGTATTAAAATGTTATAGTATTATTAGCTGCAAAATTGCAATAATGAAGACAAAATATAGAATATTTAGAGCAATATGTAAAAATCATTATATATGTTTTCACCTGTTGGTGAGCAAACCAGTGTATATTTTATTTGACAAATTATGGATAACAATTATATAAAAGTCATGGTCATGGTATTTGTCACTAGGGCTGAGTTGTTGGTCTGGCAGTGCCTACAAGAAAATCAATTTATATTTTAATTGACAAATTAAGAATAATAATTTTATAAAAGTTAAGACAAATTTTAATTTTGTAAATTAAACCATTAAGTGTTAGACTAGGCCTACAGTACTATCAACCACAGTCGGTATATGTTTTACTACACAAATCTTTAAATTCTGCCAATTCAAGAGTCTATGCAGATAAGTACAGGTCTTACTCTAATTAAAGACTCATAATTTATTTAACTGAAATAAGAGACTGATAGGTAACAAAGGGAACTAGTCCCTGTACAAAATGCCTATCAGAATACTATTTTGGTACCAAGGTTTTAGTGGTTTTAAGCAGTTTGGTCTCTAATTAGAATCTCTCTAATTAAAGACTGGCATTAAAAGTGGTCTTTAAATATCACTATTTAGAGGGAAATTAAGAAATGATATAGTAAATGTAAGATTGTCTTATTCCAAGTGTAGTTTTAGTTTAGTTAGTTTTTATTTGGAATCACTTTTATTACAGTGGCACACATTCAAAATGATGGTGCATCCAAAAGACGAAAATCAACAGAAAATTGAAAAGAAGAAAACAACTTAACTACGTAAATCATTACGAAACTAAAGGTTCGGTAAATAAAGCCAAATGGCAACGTTCCATCAAACAAATTCATTATAAATAATAATAAAGATAAAAAATAATGATTAAAAAAAAAAAGGCAACTTAAAAATATTGGTGGTACTTAAGTATTAATGTTCTTATAGATATTTGATCTTAAATTCCATGCTTGCTTGAATGTAAAATGGATTTACAGATCTTAATACAGTAAACCATTTCTCGGTAGTTGCACATTTCTCTGTATTCGCAATATAGAGCACTGTATACACAAACTGAAGAACTTTAATAACAGAAGAATAACTTGTTCCGCGTATTTGCATTGAAATTCATGGAACATCCGCCCTCCCGCGGGCAGGGTAAAATTTGTCCATTTGATTTAGTGGAAAAACTACAGGAAACAAGCGAATCAGAGCAGCGCATTTATTATTGATATATAGCGCCACCGCGCGGACGGGGTGAAATTCTTCTTTGTGTACCCACAATACACTTCGAACAGATGTTCCACTAAATTAGGAAGTTGCTCTACCTGCTATTTATTATCTTTGACAAAACATCGTCTTATGCTGTGTATTATTGTGATGTATACAGTCATATCATCATCATTTATTATCTCTTAAAAAACTGCATTAAATTCAATATATATTGTAATATTATTTGATAATTATATGAGAATGTACATTATGTTTGAATGTTTTATTCCAAGTGTTGTAGAATGGATTATTGTATGCTGTTAACTGGTTCCTATTAAACCATTTCTTGGCAGCCTCACATAAAGTTCTGCGCTTGTTCTACCCAAATATCCATTACAAAAGTGTAATCGTCAACGCAATTAGTATTCAATACTTTCAGGCCTTATCTTTTAGGAAGGTAGGCCTATGGCACTGTCACTCATCACGCGTACATACTCCACCAACATAAGTACAAAATTAAATTTGTTTACTTGACGTAAGTAAACAAATGCATACATTACAATATCCCGTACAATATAATAACTTATCATGACAATGAAAATAATTAAAAAGGTGACGATGATGATGATGACTATGATTAGGAAAAAACAGTTGATATAAGATACTGAGACTTGCTTTCTATAGTATAAGGCATCACCATACCTTATAAAGGTACAAAAAATAAGCCTATATGATAATTTATGAGAATTATAATGTTACCATGTACTTAATGTGTTTCATCATTTGTTGTACAGTACTGTGTGCGTCATGATTTTGGAATTTAACTTTTAACACAATAAACCTAAATATTTATTCAAATACACTAAAAATTATTATTTTTATTGATAGGCATATATATATCTGTCTCTTATACACATCTAGATGTGTATAAGAGACAGCATAATAATAGCTCTCAACGAATGTAGTCCTGTAAATAAATGAATAAAGAAATTGTGTAATAAAATGTGTATATATATATATATATATATATATATATATATATATATATACAGAGACACTTTTTTCGCATGTTGATGTGTCTATATACTCAGTGGTGGACCCAGGAATTCAAAATACAGGGTGGCCTGGTAAGGTACTTTCACAGATGGAGGATCTATACCACCTCAGCCCCACCATGGTTGGGGCTGAAGCAAGAAATTTGTGATTATGGCATCTCTAGATGGCCTGAAGTCTGAATATAATTTTCTTCAGGCCTATATTTCAATTTTTAAAATTTTGAATAATTTAGGGGATAGGGTGGGCTGACTGGGCCTCCTTAAATATGCCACTGATACTTGTGCATTTATGTCAAGTAAAGCGAATTTCATTTAAACAATTTTTATATTGGTTCAGTATGCACACGTGAGTGAGAATATATTGCTAAAAAGTAAGGCTTGCATCTTTCGGAAGAGTAGGGGGGGTCACCCTGATGCTATGGTTCATTTCAGCCCCTTGCGTCGTGGAATGAAAATTCAGCACAACATCGCTGCGAGTTATTCTCTACTTTATTAATGAAAGCTGGAATAGTACCTTTTAGGCTCCGTTGGTAAATTATATATTTTTACTATTTTGGTATTTTAAAATACCTTAATTTATATTTATTGTACTGTACTCATAATTTATGACATAGCTTCAAATTTACATTGAGAATTACTTGTTGCCAAGTGCTATACTTCATAATAAACTTTATCCATTCCTGACGATGACATAATTAATGTTGAAATATTGAATCCCGACACGATGGCGTGCATTTCGATACTTGGAGTATGTATTATACTATCTTATCTGAGATTAATCTGTGGACCTTTTGGTTTATTCAATCTATTATTTAAATTATATTTTTGTACAAGTTTCATTTCATGGATTTATTGAAAAGGGATCAGTTCAAGCAAGGTTTTAGTTTCGATGCCCTTACAAAAAAGAACAATAATAAATACATAATGAGAATAAAAGCTAATAAAAAGAATAGACTATACCTTTATAAATAAATCATGATTCCTTTTAAAAATTTAAAAATAATACGGCAAATTATGGTGGAAAATAAGTAAATAATTATGACCCTGTGTCAATAAGAAATATTTATTTATATTTGTTAAGCAATTTGTTGTGTATTTCTTTTTAAATTAAACTAATAATTTGTAAATTTCTTATATTGTGTTCTAAGCCATATTTTGGCACTTCTGTACTGCAATAAAGTTTTGCCCCATTTTTCTGTTCATTAATACAGTGGTAACGTTGTTTTTTTGGTTTTTTTTCAATTTCTGGTTCCATAATTGTGTGTATCTTCAATTTGCTCGAAATAATATATTAAAGGTAGGAAGCTGTTTATTTTGAAATTGAAAGATCAAATATATTGAATGTATTAGTTTGTAAAAATAGTGGCAATGGAAATGGACTGCATATAATTCGCAGCACTTTTTTTTTCTGGAGAATGTGAAGTCTGTTTAATTTAGTTGGATTGAAAGGGCCCCATACAGGTATTGCATATGTTAAGTCGGGGAGAATTATGGATTTATGTATTTGTAACATTGTACACTGTAAAAACCATTTCAATTTATTCAAGATTCCTATTACCTTGAGACTTTATTTGCAATGATATCAATGTGGTTATGAAAACTCAGATTATTTACTCTTTCGATTACAGAATTATTAATTGATAATTGTACATTTGTAAAATCAATGTATTATTGCGCCCTCATTCATAATATAGTGCACATGGGAATAATCTATGCATCTCTTGTTATGGATCGTACACTGACATGCACTGATTTTGAAAAAAAATCGCTGTTTATTTACTCAAATATTTTACGTCTTTGTATTTATTATAACGATGCCCATGTTTTGATGAATGGTGGTTAAATGCAGTTAGTATTAATCACAGTATTAAATTAAGTTATCCACTATTAAATCAAATAATATTGTCAAATACAAATATATAGTACAGTATGAATGTTTTTGATACTTTTAAAGTCTAAGCCTTCTGCAAATCCAAACAGTACCGGCAACTAGAACTGGACAATTTCACCACAAAACATTGAAAGAAGTCTTAATTTGTTAATATAAATTTCTAGATGTACTAAACAGAGAAAAAATTGATAAAATCAGAACCACGCAGGGCCCAATCTGCACTGGGTCAGTTTGTCATTCATCTGCACTTTGCGAGCTGGCCCGGAACTCTGCAAAAAAATATTTCACAGGATCCCCATGCCAACCTAGTACTAATGGTTTAATAACAATATTTTTTAATTACAGGTACTTTCTTTAATGTTCCTTGAAAAAGTTGAGTGATTAATTTTGAAATCGATGAGTAGGATTTCCACGATATAGGCACATAATAAAACATGCTCTGTCACCGTATGATTTTAGCATACAAGAGGGAGTATTAAAAAAAAAAAAGATGTGCTGGTGATCTGAGCGAATCAATTATCTAAGTCATGTAAATATATACGAGATTGCACATATTTGGCCGTAATATTGCAAAGATTATTTTTCTAATTTTTCTGACTGTTTTACAGAGGTCATAAGAATTTGTCTGATACACATTTTAGAACACAATTATTATTTAATAGAAATATAGCAAATGTATGGTTATATAACTTGTGAAAGAACTTATTTGTGGGGGATGTGAATTGTTGCAATAAATAAAGATGATATAACATAACATCAAATAACTTCAATTCAATGATTGTGAATCACTGGAATATAGTTTCTCATTGTCGTGTATGCCTTTATTCTTTGTTTTATTCTTAATACTGGATTATTATAGGCCTATATCTTTTGTGAAAGTCTAGAAATGTTTTTAACACCACAACGTTTGCCTGAGAGTTCGTTTTCAACACTCCACGACCTGTATAAGTAATTCAGTGGCGTAGCTACAGGTTTTGGCGACCGGGGGAAAGTGTAGAAAATTGCGCCCTCCAATTATAATTATAATATTGTGAAATAAATTGATATTGATTGTATAGGCTTTAAGCATATACCGTACATCCGTACCATGCGCTGTAAAAATAAGCAAACTGTCTAAATATCATTATTTAAACCCAAATAACTAGTTTTATTCTCTCATATATAGTAAGTTCTTTCTTACTATTGAAACTTCATTACGATGTTCGCAACTTTGTATACAACTTTACCATTATCCTAAGTTGTAAGGCTGTTGTATTTATCACATACAGCTTAGTACAGTATTCTTATTCTCTAAATTTATCTTATAGTAGAGTCTTGTAAGTTGCTAAATTTGCAACATTGTTTAAACTCGCAACTGCATTTTGCGTGCTTTTGCATCAGCAAAGTTAATAGCATGATCAAAGTTAATGTTGTCTGCTTCATCGCGTTCAATACTAAGGAGTGCCAAAGTAGATACGGTAGTCTCGCTTGTCCCATCGTGGCTCTGCGATATGGCAGGATGAACCTTAGCTTGCTGAACGCTCACAACTCATTGAAATATCTACTGTCAACATGATTTTTTTTTTTAAACAACTACATTCAGATTCTTATTATTAACTGAAAACTTTTCATGCATGACGACATACATCAATTTCGTTTTTCTAAGTGCTTATTATTTTTACTCTCATTCTCCCGTTTTAGCGCCCCCAAACCCGGCACCCGGCCCGGGAATGTGCCCATCCTTGACCCCCACCCCCTCTCTAACTATGCCATTGCCAATGTAAAACAGTGTGGAGGATTGAAAGACAAAGCTCCATGATTTTGTCCCGCTATGGTGACACGTTTAACATCTAACTGTGTTTAGACATTACTTAATGTGTTTAGGTCTTGAAATACCTACTAATAAATGCGTTTGGTATTTGACATCATGGTATCAACTACTTAAGAACAATGCAAAACACCTCAAGATCGTAAGCACAATTTGCTATGCCAAACACGGTTAGCTCTTCGACAGAAACGGGGAAAATGCGTGGAGCTTTGTGTTTAAATTCTTCACGTTGTTTTTACAGTGACAATGATTCTCTAATTTGGTGAATCCGTCTCTGACTTGGACATACGTCAAATTTGAAAAAAAAAACGAATTGCAAAGTATAAAGTTATTGCACCAGAAAATACTCTTGTAAAGCTATATATTCCCTAAATTTTAATATATAATACAAATAAAATTTATTTCAATTTTTAATATACTAAAATTGAAGTTGAGCATATAACATTGATTAAATTAAGATTTAATTAGTCCTATCAAAAATATACATCGTCTCAATTAATAATTTGCTTTACTTTGTAATACTCAAAAAAGAATAACATCCCAATCCTACACTGATATTTTCAAGAAGTTATTTTAAGTACAAAAGCGATATTCTGAAAAAAAAAGGGGGTTAAAATAACTTCTTGAAAATAATGTGAAATTTGTCCTTCTGAAAGGACCACCCACTATGTACATATATATACACTAGAGTTTTTTGGAAAATAAGCATGTTCATGTGATGCACCTCATCTTTGGAATTCTCTTCCGCATCATATGAGGATGTCACAATCAGTTGACACTGAAACTAAGACGCCGCTGTTCGAGCACATTTGAACATTTCTGTTATGAATTCTGGCGTTATATTATAAATTTCTTTACTAACATAGGCGTAGTTGGAGTAAAGTTGAATAGCTTCGTGATTAAGCTGCATGCCTTTCAATCCCAGTGTCCGGGATTTTTTTTCTCACATCCAAAACCAACTCCCTGAGACTAATTAGTTTAAGTACAGCAGCTTGTTTAATATATGCTTGTCTTGTGAAAGGTTCCGGGTTCGCTATTGGCATATCCTTGGCCCTGAGCCTAAACAAATTAAATACCGTACATAAATTGACTGATTAATGTGAGATTCAAAGTGATGCACTCATAATGAAAAGAAGAAGTAGGCCTAAGGCTGTGTCCAGGACTGCAAGGGGAGGCGGGTGGTGTGCAATAGGCCTAATAATGAACCTATGGGGTAGCCTGGAATCCCGGCCGAGTCAAGACGACAAAGTCGGTAGGATTGAAGCGGGGACAGTAGGAGTCTTAGATCCTTTAATAAATTTCAGCCTACAATCAGGGGTTGGCGCCAGCAGGGAAAGGGAGACAGTCTCGTTGGAGACCTCTCCCCCGTTGGGTTTTTTTTTACATAGTAGTATATTCTAAAATCGAATAAAGAACCTTTTGAAACCCTTTAATTGTCATAGTTTCGGGAGCTTCGCCCCTTGACCACTTCCGATAAATTTTGAAAGACGCCTGACCACGCCCACTTACACCTCCCACCCATCAACCCAGTTGAGGACATCAAACCCCCGTCGGGCTCCTGGCGCCACCTCTACCGTGAAAAGTAATATACGTAAGGAATATCTATCTATTATAGTACTTTCTCAATTGTCACTAACAATTGTGGACCTTCTGCTACTCGGGAGTGCGTACACACCTACTAAATCCCCCCCCACCCCCACACCCTTTTAATACGGGCCTGCTTGAGTATCAATATATTTCTGCAGACTGAACTGCCGTGTTCCTAATTCACTACTTCAGGAATAGTCTTCTACGGCGATCATCTACAAGTAATAGTAAAGACATAACAATAACAAGCATTATCAAGTATTACGAACTTTGTCCATCCACGTCAAAGACGTTAACATATCACGGTTGCCAATATTTTCAAATGTTCATTTCTCCAAAGTATGTACTCAAACGAAGTTGTTGCAAGCTAGTACAGTGTTGAAACGAGTCATCGCTTGAAATTTAAAAAAATGTTTGTAAATGTACTTTCCGTTCCCCTACCCCCTCCAAAAAAATGTTGTCTGCTATGTTTTACGACATCCAATATGAGCGTCCAAAGATTCTACGTGACTCGACCCTAGGGTAGGGTCGCTCAGCATTTTTCCACAACTTTAATATTTTGTCCTTGGATGTCTACATTTACGGATTGCACAAGTTTTGTTTGCTGATGTTTGTTCCATCTTAATTTCTTTATCGGTCGTTGCATCGATGCACTTTGCTAGCAAATCTGTTTTAATTTTAATAAAAACGATTTGAATTTACAATCCCGAATGTCACTGTACAGATTAACGGCGCTAGGCTACGAATTCTCGTACGTCGATAGATAGGTATAATTTACGAAACGATGATAACGTTTTCTTTGAACATCCCAAACATAATTATTACATGCAATTCCCAAACGAGTAATATCATGTTGAGTGCAAAATTATGTTTACTGCCATCAATTTCCGTGCTCAATTGCTTCTGGTAATAATGCAATAACTGTTCGTGTTGAACCGTGAGAACAAAGGAGGCATACAAGACGTTAACATTATTACATTTATCAAACTACGCGAATCATTGATTGAACCTCTGATATGATTTTGTAGATTCACTTTGGGATTTGAATGTACTTTCATTCTACAATATTATATCGAAGTTTTATTTGGTTTAAGAGCTAGTTATTTAACACAAATTGAGTTCTTGCGATAAACAAATTTTAATCCAAAGTAGAAACTGAATTTAGGCATAATGACGAATACAGCCGTCGAATACTCTAAAGGTCTGCAGTCGAATACTGTATACACAATCAAATATTACACTGTTGAATTCATACACAGGAAAGAGTTTAACGAAACTCGACTTGTCAGGTCAGACTTGCCTCTTTCAATCCTATACAAAATTCCTCAAACGCAAATGTTATAAATTTACTGTACAAATTTTCTATGTTTTCTGTGTATCGGTCACCGAGGAACTCCTTTATCGATTTAGTGAACGGTTCTTCAAAGTTCTGTAAAGGAAACAAAATTTGCGTCAAAGGATAAGTTGAGAGCTGAATAGAATATTGTATGCAATCGCACTACAACTAATAGAATTATTGACATAGTAAACGGCGTATTACCATCATGTAATTAACATTGCCAACATCATGGTTGCTCATTACAAGCCTACCGATGTCATGTCGTCATCATAGCTAAATTAAACGGCCTTCCTAATTTGTTGTCATTCAAGCAGGTGAGGTCCCATCCTATTGTATTACTATCGCCATACTTTAAATAAATAGTATATTATTATTATTATTATTATTATTATTATTATTATTATTATTATTATTATTATTATTATTATCATTATTATTATTAATATTATTAGACCTACTATTATTATTATTATTATTATCATAATCAATTATCATTATTATTAATATTAGGCCTATTATTATTACTACATTTATTACTATTATTAATTATTGTTATCATTATTGTTATTAGGCTAGCTATAGTATTGTTGTTATTCATATTCTTATTTTAATATATTGATACTGTTATATTTATTCTTATTATAGTAATTATTATTATTACTGTATATCATTAATAATATATTTAACATTGTTGTTTTTATGATTAATAATGATAATGTATCCATTTTTATTATTATCATTATTATAATCTTTATTATCATTATTATGATAATTATTATCACTTATATAAAATTAATGAGTAAACTGCAAGTATAAAACATTAATACGTTTACAATAAAAAGCCACACAGTCTGATAGACATGACTTTCATATTCATTATCTCGTAGCAATTTTGTCGCCATTGTGGCTTTTATCATTCCTCATAAGAATGGCTGTTGTTATATTGATTTCTATGAAATTAAACTACTGTATTGAAGAACAGCAAATACTGTAGTCTAGCTAGGCAATATCAACGTTACCATTATCGACACAATTGGCAAAATGACCAGTAGCGCTCTCACCTTAATCATGTCAACGGTTACGCCATACGAGGCGTGGTTTTCACCGATTTCACGTAGCATTGCAATCATATTGTCTACGTCATCGAGTTTTTCCAGCAACTCGTCAAAAATGTTCATCATTATTGCAGCTTGATTTTCGAACGCCAAACTTGCTATCAATTGCTCACGTGACTGACCCTTTAAGTCTTTGAAGAGATCCTGGTATTCTGGGTTAGCTTTAAATATTCTGAAGAAAGAGTTAAAATTTAATTAATATCATGTTTTATCCGACTGAACATCAAATGCCAATTTGCTGAAATATTTGGAATGGCAATGTAATTGAACCAAATAATGTGGAAACAATAACCGATACCGTATATGTCCTACGTAGGACTAAACGGTTAGTAATATAATAAATGTATAGGGCCTATTTCCACACGGATTATCAATTAAAATGTGTATTGTACATGCTTGCATTGTAGTTTTTGCGCATCGTCCATGATTTCATCATCATTTGCGTGCCACGAATTATCTTGCTATCAAATCCATAGGAACTGTATGAATAGGGGCCCGGAGCTATTAGGGACCATGCAGTAATAGGCCAAAAGTATAATTTCCAACTCAAATTCTTAAAAGAAAAAAAGCAATCAGCCCGAGAGCGCCTTCCACTTCGGTGACCTAACAGTGCTTTATTTCCCTTAGTGTTTGACACGTGGGGGTAGAATCAATTCTGTATGGTAGGCCCACGAACAACATACATTAGCTTATGGTAAAAATTGTAAGGAAATTTGCTGAAAACTAGGCCCTAATTATCGAGTTAATTACGATGAAAATTTTGTTTGATCGCACTGTTTAACGCTTGGCTCAGAAAATGACTAGACTATGCGACTTATTAGGGCCCAATGACGTTGACAATGTGTGTTTTTATAGTGCTTTTTAATATTTCTAAGCAATTCTGCAATAACAAGCTGGAAGGTTCTAAATATTTACAAGTTGAATGAGCATGTTGCTACATTTTAATCAGTCTGAAAAGATCAATAATGTTCTTTTCTCATACCTAGGCCTATGTGCATATGCAGATATGGCATAATATGCCATATATTATTGTTACATCGTTTTAGTAGCTTTTGTTTTGCTTTAAGTAAGAAGCTGGGGCGCAGGGGTGCGGACGGTGCGATCGCACCCCTTAAATTGTATTAAGAAAAAATTGTTGTATTTTATTGTTGACATGAATTATTGGTAAGATTTTAAAGGTATGAAAGTGAAATTTCCGGGCACCCAGATGTCTATATTCTCACAATATTGTGGTGTGAACTCTCATGACTCCATGGGGGTAGATCAACAGGGAAGGAGACACGTTCCCCTACATATTTTTAAGGGAAGGGGGTTGATCCCCTCACTTTTCGTCCGCAATGCAATTTTATAAGTCAAGAAGATGCCTGAAAATTGTTGAAATAAACTGCATAGGCCTAAATGGATTTTAACGAAAGAGCGCTGTACTGTACAGCCAGAGTACATCTTATTTTATAGCAACATACCGGTATCTCTGCCCACAAACATCTGGATTACCTATAATACACGACTCGAGTGCGCGTGCCTTTATTTTATAATTTGAGGAGTATTAGAAAAAGCGTGCAAAGATAAGATTGGTTTTCGGCACTTGAATTAGGTAAAGCAAAGTAAATACATCAAAGAAAATTAAGTTTCATTTTCTATGGTACATCACATCGATTAATTAGGTCGACGATGATGAATTTTACTATAAGAGTATCATATCCGGCGATCTAGAGATACTATTTTTCCAAGTTTTTCCACCTTTGCCCCACCATGGTTGGGGCTGATGGGCTTGTGGACTCACGACTCTGAAGTAGGTAAAATAAATGCATAAAAGACAATGATTTTAAGTTGTATTTTCTATGGTACATCACACATATTGATTAGGTCTCTGGTTGCCGAAAATCGGCCATCTACAGGTAGGCCTACTATTTCCGCAAAATGTCCCCCCACCTCTCAAAACAGATCTGCGCCCTTGCACGTACCCCTTCCGCAAAATCCTGCATCCAGTGACACATTTTAAAGCTGCATGTTTTTTTTTTCTTTTATGTCTGTTTGATGTTTGTCTTGTCGAACCTGTGCTTGTTTTTTGAATGTTTTGTGTTCCCTCTTCTTTTTTTCGTGTTTTTGTTTTTGATTTGTCTTGTGTGAAGTTTGATGTTTTTCTAGCTTTAAGTAATTGTGTAAAATGAAATTGTAATTTTGTTCAGTATACAGTAATCCAATTATTCCAGCTCTCTAATTGATTACCATATTACAGAATATTCTTGGTGCCTAAGCATGGTGGGACCGAGCCTAGAGTTGCACCCTTTACCTGTAGTGCCTGCATTTGGGCATCTAGAGGGGCCATATCATTTAAGTTTCTCACCTCAGTTACAATATATCATAATATGACTAATGTGGGACCGCGACATGTTGAGCGGTTAAAATTGACTCCAGTCGAAAAACTAGGGTCTTAGCGTTCTAAGCAAAGCATATCGTAACAAGCTGCGGGACTTTAGGAGGGAGGATTAAAACAACTTCGTAAGATGATTTTTTTTGTGAATAACATCTGTGTGTTTGAGTGGGGTAAACTAAAACTCTACATCATAACGCGCTATTGGCTTGTTTGAATGTAGCACACAGTAAAGAATAAGACCACGAAAAGCAACCAGTGACCGATTTTTGGCGCCATAATTATTATATTTATGGCCTATATCATCTTACTTATTTCCTACCCATCCCGTGCACATTTCCCAGGAGTTTTTTTGTCTTTACTTTATTAAGAATGTATTAATCGAACTTTTATTATGTTTTAAATTTTTTTTTTTATTATTTTGTTTTTCCTCACGGGCCAAATTTGGCCCGTGGGATGCCTGTTAAAAACCAGGGGTCTATACCATTTATTTTTTATTAATGGGACACGTTACAAACGTGAATGTGTATATATACAGT